CAAACATTTACATAATAGTCTGTTTTTTTTTTAAATAAAGATAAAATGGAACAAAGGAAATAAGCTACTGGACATTAAGGAACGATCTTGTTAATAAGCTACTGGACGTTAAGGAACGATCTTGTTAATACTTGATTGTGAACAAAATATCAACAAAATTTAATATTTGGTAAACATCCTCTTATTTTCAATGACTTCTATTGCATCGTCGACCACATGATCTAATTAATTTCTTGCAAAAATCAGCAGTAATTTCCTCCCATTCGTCTTTTAATAACTCCCATAGGTGATCCCGGTTTTTTGGGTTTCTTTTCTGAACCCTTTCTCCTATTATCTTCCAAATATTTTCTATTGGATTCAGGTTGGGGCTCTGGGCTGGCCACTTCATTAGGGCGATTCGTCCTTCTTCAAATAAAGCCATAACCTTCTGAGCCTTGTGGCAAGGTGCATTGTCCAGCATGAAAATAGGAGATTCATAAAGATTATGGTGGAATCTTGGTACCACATGCTGCTGAAGAAGGCTTTTGTAAATCTCAGCATTTATATTGCCATGTACGCGGATGATAAGGCCAACTCCTGCAGATGAAATCATTCCCTACGCCATCACACTGCCGCCACCAAACTTAACGGTTTTCTTCACCTGTTCTACGGCGTACGTAAGTTTTGCCCTCAGAACCAAATATAGTAAACTTGGACTCGTCACTGAAATGAACTGTATCCCATGGTTCGTCAGCCCAAACAACATGTTCTCTCGCATACTCCAGGCGTGCCCTTTGGTTTCGTTTTGAAATGAGAGGCTTCGAAGCTGGAATACGGACATGCAATCCTGCATTTTTTAACCTGCGAACAACCGTTTTCCTTTAGATCTTATTATCTGTCTCTTCATTCAATTTACGGGCAATTGATGTAGCAATTTCAAAACGTTCTTTTTGTAGATATTCTAACAATTCTTCGATCTTCTCTTTGCGATGATTTTGAAGGTCCGATGGTTTTTGGTTTTGCATCTAACGTTTTATCGGTTTTATACCTGCTAATTACACGATGAACGACACTTTTAGACCTATCAACAATATCTGAAATTTCTGAAATTGACTTTTTTTCTTGATAGCGATAACGAGGTTTTTTTCTTCAAAAGAGAGCGTTTTGTGTGTAGAATTTGCTATATTGCTTAAAAATAAAGTCCTAATGAAAAATGAACTTTTACTTATTGTTGAAAAACTCCATCGAATTTTTTAACAATGTAAATTAAAAGTTTATGCAAATTATTAACATCGTTCCTTAACTTATGTACAGTAGCTTATGTACACGTAACACAGATGAATCAAACAGATGTTTAAAATACGTTTTAAATTTTCTGTGTATGGAAACCCTCTTTTTACACAGGGATCAGTGATAACAGCTGTCTCTTAAACGCTCTGTTCTCGAAGTAATAGATCTAGCACGTTTCTCTGAGGGTAACAGATCAAACAAGTGTTCACACAGGATAAAGGTTGTCTTTCATGTTTTCTACACTTCTGAGGCAGTGAGAATTAGAAAAGTCCTCCAAGGAGGGCAGCGATTATTTTCTGGGTAACATTTATAAATCTCTAGAGGGTCCTCGTGTTTAGTCGAGTAGCCGGCACACAAAACAGTGATGTCGTACGCCAGCACAATCCCAAAAGAGCAGCAGTAGAAGATCATCAACAGTTCCCTTTGTAAATTATTTTTTCCGAGACTTCTCAATAGATAGAGTCGATGTTGTGGCTTTTTCTTTTGACTATCGCGGTTGTGTTGCCAGTTCGGAAACGATCCTTTGCAATGTGCGCGTATCCAGAAACTTACTTTTGTCCACCCTGTCCACTCAGACACGCCGATAACCAAATGGACAGGTGGTGGGGCATTTCTCAATTAAACACCAGCTCCTTTAACTTTAAAGTGTTTAAAGTAAGGTTATTCTGACAACTCCCCTCAGTCAATCTTTCATTGCATAGGCTATCCACATTGCAGTTCTAGGGATGGTGAAATAGCTAGCAAATGCGGACTCGGAACCCGCAAGGAACGCGGAAAAAATGGGTTCAAAACTTGCAAGACGAATGATAACACCTGGTTCCAAGAACACACCGTCCTGGGTAAGACGTTAAACTACATCCGCGTCCTAGGTAAGTCGTTAAACTACGTCCAACAGCAAGGCCTCTGATCACGAAGTTTTGAGAAGCGTGGAACCACCTCTTAATTGCTGGTGTTCCCAGGTCCACCCTGACCCGGTGTGGTATAACCTGTTAGGGTCCCAGCTATGGGCAAATAGTTAACTATTACCAGCAATACCTTTTTGAAAAAATGATTACCAGCAATAAATTTTGAAGGAAATGTATTACTAGAAACAGATTTTTGACAAAACAAAATTTTACCAGCAATAAATTTTTTTTGTCAGCATTAGATAAACCATCGAGGTTGATATTCCGTTAAACAAAATAAACCAAACCAATCTAAACCAAAAAATACATATTCTATTCATACGAATCTATCCTAAAAATGTTGTCGGTATTAAATAACCCATTGAGGTTGATATGCCGTAAAACAAAATAAACCAAACCAATCTAAACTAAAGAATATACACTCTATTCATACGAATCTACCCTAAAAATGTTGTCGGCATTAAATTATCCATTGAGGTTGATATGCTGTTAAACAAAATAAACCAAACCGAACCAAGAACGCGCAAGGCGAATATGGATAAGGAGAAATCGATGAGAAGAAACGAAAAACCAAATCGACTATATAACTATCAACAAGAGACTCAAGGATGCAATAGACCATTGAAAAACCTATCCAAGTGCCAATTTCACTGTTATATGTAGACTTAGGCCTTTTCAGTTTCCGTAGATTCGTTCTAACTCAGCACCCAGATTGCAAGATGCGAAATTTTAAGAAGGTTTAAAATTGGTTGTCTCTATTGGGAGGAGTATTCAGTAATAACGGAGAAAGCTGACCCGATCAAACTAATGCTTCTTGGTAGAGTTATTAATCTTGTATAGTTGCCCAATTCTTTGAGGACACGTCTTTTAGTAGCTCTAGTTTTATTTATAATTTGTTCAGATTGTCATTTCTTTGCGGATAAATGATGACAAAACTCAAGCTAACTCCTTAAATAAAAAGTCAAGCTGTATTTGTTGCTTTCAACGCAGAGCATAGTGATTTCGAAATCACTCGCTTTCTGGAAGTTGTACGAACATTTATTGCCAAAATTCGCAAAGAGCTGGAAGACGCTGACCGTGATTCTAGAACAGTAGCCAGACGTAAAACGCCAATAAAGTCGCCCTAATACCGTCAGAACACACAAATTTGCACGAAAGCTGAAAACAAGTGTGAATAAAAAAAAACCCTAGAAAAACAATGCCGTTGCTAAGGATCTCACGGTTTCAAAGGATTCCATCGGGAGATTTGTGCATGATGAACTTCGATGGAAGTTATATCTGAGTGATGCCAATTCATGCCTGCAAAACCAAAGGGCAACCATCTGATCCGCCACAAGCGCTCATTGGGCAAGTTGAAATATCAAAAGCATGGAATTCTTTTTTTTTTTTTTTTTTTTTTTTTTTTTTGATGAGAAAATATTTAATCGGGAACAAAAGGTCGACCAAAGAAATGGCCCTACAGATACCATAAAGAAGTTCAAAACAGTCATTCATACGAAGTTTCGTGCAAATATAATGGTTCCGGGAGTCATGATCAATGAGGAAGATGTGCCTCTTCACTTCTTTCCTCCGATTTTAATTGTTAATTCTGGTGATTATAACGTGTTAGAGGAGGTTATGGTGCCTTGGATAGAGAGTGTGAGCAAAGGAAGACCATACATACAAAGGATAGGAAGCTGTGAAGAGCTATGATCACCCACATCAAAGACCAAAAGATCAACTGAAGGAATTACAGATGACTATGCAGAATCCCTAAGAATGTTACAACAGTCATGCATAAAGTTTCCAGCAATTGCAATGGTTCTGGAATTCATGAGGAACAAGTGAGCTGCCATGCCTCTTCACTTCATTCCTCAGAGCTTAAGGGTCAATTCTGCTGATTATAATGTGTTGGAGAAGGTTGTGATGCCTTTGATAGAGAGTGTGAGCAAAGGAAGACCATACAGCTACCAACAAGACTCTGTGTTGTCTCAGAAGTCCAACAATAGATGAGTTACAATCTTCACAATCATGTCATCCAGAAACATAGGCTCCTAGCTCTCCAAACCTGATTCCATTGGGCTACTATATATGAGACATATTCAAGAGGGAAGTCAAACAACAGCCCAGTATAAAATCTCTGAAGTCCACCTAACTAGTACAATGTTCAAAACAGATAATCTGATTCGGACACGTCAATGTTTCAGGCTTCGTACTGAAGCAATCATTGATGTCAACAGCAGAATCATTAAGTAGATATACAAAGAACAAACAAAGTGATTTAGAAAGCTCGCTTCCTGAAAGTTGTATGGTTGGTTGGTTGTTAAAGTTTGTAAAGATCTGAATTCCACTGATGGGAATGCTACAGCAGTATCCAAAATCTAAAACACCTGTTAAGGGTCCTAATACCATCAGAACACCCACATTTATATGAAAGGTGCAGAAAACTATTGATAAAAAACCCAGAAAGTCAATTAATGCCATTGATAAGGATTTCAAGGTTTTAATGCCATTGATAAAGAGTTTCAAGGCACTTTATCAGAAGAATAATACTTGAAGATCTTTAATACAAGTCATATGTGGTGTAGAGAGTCCAATTAATGTATGAAAAAGAAAAAGATTAATCTGCACAAAGTGTTTGCTTGTTGAGCAAATTTAATGCTTTGGTTTTTCTCTGCGAAAAAACTTTGATCAAGACCAAAAGATCAGCTGAAGGAATTATGTGATGCCTTGGATAGAGAGTGTGAGCAAAGGAAGACCATACATACAAAGGATAGGAAGCTGTGGAGAGCTATGATCACCCACATGCAAGACAAAAAAGATCAACTGAAGGTTCAATGCTGGTGATTATAACGTGTTGGAGAAGGAAGACAAGGGCAGAAAGGAAAAAGTAACAAAGAGAGGAGGAAAACCAGAATGAAAGACAGAAAGACTAGCAGAAAGGAAAACAGAAGAAAATATAGGAGGAAAAAAGGAAGAAATGTCGGAATGGAAAACGAAATAAAAACAGAAGGAAAGACATAACGAAAGACAGAAAGAAACGTAGAATAAAAGGCAGGAAGAAAGAAGGGTGGAAAGACAGAAAGAAAAACTGGAGGAAAGACAGAAGGAAAGGCAGAAAGAAATATAGAAGAAAAAACGGAAGGGAAGTGAGAATGGGAGACAGAAGGAAAGAAAGTGAAATACAGAAAGAAAGACAGAAAGAAAGAAAGAAAGAAAGAAAGAAAGAAAAAGAAATAGAAGAAGAAGAAGAAATCGATGACAACAACGACGAAGAAGAGGAAGACGACGACGATGAAGAAGAGGGAGACGATGACGAAGACGAAGAAGAAAAACAAGAAAAAGACGAAAAAATAAGACGAAGAAGAAGGAAAAAGGAGAAAAAAGAAGAATAATATCAATGAAGGGAAAAATATATCCAAATGAAATGGATTTGACGAAGAACGACGAGAAAAAAAATGTCATGAAATCAAATCCAAAATGGAGGATTAAATGAAATCCAAAATGGAGGATTAAATGAAATAAAGAATGAAATTTTTAAAAAAATGAGATTACAACAAGGACAAGTGTAAAGGTAAGAGTGAAGAAAGAAAGAAAGAAAGAAACTGAAGAAAAGAAAGAGACAAATCGGCAGTAAGTTCAGGAAAATTAAAAAGAAAGAAAAAGTCATCACATAAAGAAGAAATCGAAAGAAAGCAGTAAAAAGACAAAACAAAAACTACAGAAAAATGAATCGATAAAAGAAAATGAAGAAGAAAATAGAAAAAAAGAAGGAACGAATAGACGTAGAGAAAAAGATACTATTACATTAAAGAGAAAAAAGTGAATAAATGAAAGAAAGAAGAGAAACAAAACGTTAAAGCACTAAAAAAAGAAAGAAGAAAAAAGAGAGAAGGAAAGTGTGGCGAACAGGGAACGTATGAACAAAGAAAGAAAGAAAATAAATAAAAATAAGAAAAAAATACGCAGTTAATTGACAGTTGAATTAAACAATCAAAAATTGTGGGATTCATTCAAAATGAATGAAACGCAAGGAGGAGAATATTTTTTATATAAAGCGAACAGAAAAATATAATGATTAATGCGTAAAATGAAATATAAACAGAAAGCTACACACGTATACACACACAGAGGCACACACACACACACACACACACATACATATATATATATATATATGTATATGTATGCGTGTGCGTGTATGTGTGTGAGTTTGAGGGAAATAATACAAATCGTGAACAAAAGATTAAGTTTACAAATAATACAAAATGCAATGGGCAACTATAATGGACAGTAGCAAACTTCAGTCTTTCTCCTCGGCACACACGCCAGGAACATAATAGTTAGTCCAATCTAACAATGTGACGAAGAACAGAAAACTAAAAACAAAAATATTGCAAAAGAAATCACCCCAAAATAAAAACGTTTTCAATTCAAGAAAGATATTTAAATCTCTTTGAATAGGTTGCTAAAAAAAAAAATGCGATTCATATCTTTTGTGATCATAGCCAACAAAACATTTATTAACAATACGTCGAAGAGTCGGCTTTCTTCCTATTTGTTGTGTTAAAACAATTAAAGTCCTGGTTAAAAAACATCGAAAGAATTGATTATTTTTGTTTTCAGCCGAAACGTTTTCATGTTAAACTTTGCTTTATTTAATTATGAATCTGTTCGTATGTCATTCCGTCAATTCGATGGCCAGGATGGAATGGATAAAACTTTGAAGTCATAATTCATCGCACATTATTAGCTAATTCAGGCTTTATCGATATATGAACTAAATATACTTATTATCATTTAAAAGGTTTATTTTCTTAATGATGGCGAAATCTATGTGAACAATGAGAACAAAGCTGATTCGTTTCGTGCATTTCTTTTACAAAACTTTCAATCAATAAAAGACCCAAGAACCAATCAAGGTAGAGGGTTACTAAGTAAGGTTGCTGTGTGAAAAGAAGGGGAAGAAATACGTACAGATTATGAGGATATGTAGGATAGATAACTATTTAAAGAAAGAAAGAAAGAAAAAAAAGGAAGAAGTATATATTAGATTGCTGGTTAGAAAGAAAGAAAGAAAGAAAGGAATAGAAAAATGAACTCTACCACATGTGATGTTTTGTTACTATCAAATTTTTAAAGTACTCGTAGGTCCTACTTGGCAACTTCTTTCTTTTGGTCCGTTCCACAACGCTCTTGACTCAATATGGCTCTGTAGCATGCGGTGTGGGTCAGTTGTAGCTCACTTGTCGGGGAAGGCAGACGTCAGGGGACTATCCATTTTCGGAAATACGAGGTGTCTAACGCACTATTAATACATACAGATATCAATATAATCTTCGGTTGTTTATGGCTGTACACGCAACGAGTAGAGCGTTACTAACAATAGCTTTATCATTTGCTTCTACTTTTTTAACATTTAACTAGTATATGAGATAGAGAGATAGAGGAAAAGAGATTAGTCTATTGTAATTTGGTCTCTCAAAAAAGTAACTCGCATGATACATGATAAAATAGGTTAACTTCAAACTAATCGAAAAAGAAAAAAAAAATAGAAATTATCATAATAAAACTCCTAAGGTGAAATGGAAAATTTTAAATATGGCAAGGGCATGTAGATCCTTTTATGAACCCTGTTTTCTGTGTTTACGTGAACAATTGGAAATTATCAGGTTCATTGATAAGAATTCTTTATTAAATCAAAGTACCGAATTAACTGTAAATTGTAAACACAGTCTACCTTCCACCTTACCATTCAGTTAAACTTTGGGATTTGACGTTTTTCATATTTATTAGTTGAACTGTGTTGCACCGTATATGGCTTATCTTTCTATTTGTATGATTAATTTATTTCTGTATTGAAAACCTGGTGGTATTATTAACGTCTTATACGGATGTATTGGTATTTAGTTAGTATTTTTGACATTTTACATTGATTGGTTGATATTATTAACATCTTATGTGAATGATATATTTATTGTAGCCATTTGTATAGGGTCTTTATGTTATTGTTTGGCTGTTGGTAGCTGTCAAATCTTGGCCATGACACATTTCTAAGATAATAATTTTCATTTTTTTTTCTTTTTCTTTTAGTTTGAATTTAACAAAGGTTTTATTCGATTGGTTGACCAAGGTAAAGCCCTCAAGCTTCATATATATTTTTCTAAAAAAATGACAATGTATTTTGCTTTTGAAACAAAATTAATCATTCGCTTGCTAGTAATTTACAATCGCCGCGTTGAAACATTACAGCAATTGTGTAACGATTCTTACATGTTTTTGTTGTAATATCCTTATATATATATATATATATATATATATATATATATATATATAACTCTATGAACCTAAAAGGGCCAGGCAAACCTATCTAGGTTTCACCTACACGGATCGTCAGTGTACACTGGCCAAAAGAGGTAATATTAGAACAGAGTATAAATAGCCTACAACATAAAAACAACCATGACCACATGACTAAATATAATATATATATATATATATATATATATATATATATATATATATATATATATATATATATATATAATACAACAATAACACAACAACGGAGGGGTTAATACATATTTATTCAATACCAAAAAAAATTAAACTGCAAAATGAGAAGAAAACCAAACCTATTCTAGTAACCAGCATTTCCTATGTCTACACTTACTCAAGATTTCAGATTTTATGTTTAGCAAATTGTCGGGATTTTTATACAAAGCGATGGCTAACTTTTCCTCTGTACATCGTGGACACAATTTATTACCTGCTTTATACTTATGACATTCCTTTAATATTTCCCATTTCAAAATGGGTTTTTTATTATCGTCTCATTTAATTTTCCATACATAAGTAGATAACGTGGTGCTAGGCTTGTATTTTTCGTTATTAAAACTACTAAGGTGGTTATAGTATCGGGCTTTAAAATTGTTTTGTGTAGATCCTATATATATCTTGTGATATTTATCAGTATCTCTTAGTTTATCCTTATATATTTTTACTTGGTATACCACGCACTCTTGCCGGCACTTTCCCTGGAAGGGGCAGGCTTTCTTATTCCTACAATTACATTTGGTGGGGGGCCATACATGGTTTGTCCTTAATTTTTCTCATATTGTATCTATTAATTAAACTAGTCACATTGGGCATACAACTATAGCTTAATTTGATATAGTTTTTATTAAAGATTTTATATAACGTATTCGTTTATGGGAAATTCTGTTTGAGTAGTCTAAAGAATACTTTGCCTATGTTAGTTTTCACCGTTGAATTTTATGGGGGAGGTTAAACCATAATATTTTTCTACTTCTGGTTTTGTGTTTGTTTTGTGTTCTAGGATCCTCGTTTATATCAATATATTCTAATTTGTTGTTATGTCCTTGTCTATCATGTAAAAAATTGGTCACAAAAGTTCTCACTGTTGGTATAGAAAAGAAAGCAGAATAAGAATTACGAGGACCGACCAAACAGATGAGACTAATATAAGAAAATATGTACAGGTTGAAATGCAAAACAGAAAAGTTAGGTTACAGCTGGATACTGGCTCAGACTTAACTATCATAAATCTACAAACATGGAGAAAACTGAACAAACCTGTCATGTTAAAAACGGATAAAATTGCGAGATCAGTTACGGGGAGAAAGATAAAATTTGAGGGTGAAATAATCACAAACGTAACATTTAATGGAATGACGAAAAAAAAACTAAAATGTACGTCTTAAGAAATACCGAAAACCTATTCGGGACAGACTGGATGCAAAAATTCGAATTGTGGGATCTACCTATTAGCACCTACTGCCAGAATGTTAAAAGCTTATCAATCGATGCAGACAAATTAAAAGTAAAACTAAAAACGAGTTCCCCCGAAGTATTTTCGGCAGGTCTCGGAAGATGCAAGAAAATGGCAGCTAATATCAAAATAAAGGATAACGTTCAACCTATTTTCAAGAAAAAAAGGAGTGTACCGTTTGCGTCAATAGAAAAGATTGACCAAGAATTATCTAGAGTCGAAAATACGGGCATATTGAAAAAAGTAGAGTACAGCAAATGGGCCGCACCGACGGGCTACGTTAAAAAGAAATCAGGAGAAATTCGAGTTTGTGCTGATTTTCCTACAGTTTTGAACGCAGCAATAAATGACTACCACTATCGGCTACCTAGTTCTGAAGAAGTATTCACTAAATTAAATGGCGGAAAATATTTTTCAAAAACTGGTCTAAGTGAGACCTACCTGCAAATTCCAGTCGATGAAGAATTTCAAAACTACTATGCATAAACACACACAAGGGATTGTACAGATACCAAAGACTACCATTTGGAATTAAAGTAGCGCCGGCTATTTTCCAGCAGACAATGGATACGATGCTGGCAGGATTAGAATACACAATAGCATATCTGGATGACATATTGATTAATAGCGAAAGCGTTGAACAACACTGGCAACATGTACAAGAAGTTTTTAA